CACTTCGAATACTGGATTGAAAAACGTTCTTGAGTTGATAGACATCCTTATTCTTCGCGGCAAGAATAGCTCGTTGACTGAGCCAACTCATCCCAAACAATGAGTTTACATTTTTGTAATAAGTTATTTTCCCATACCGGATGTTCTGGAAATATTGCAAGTGGTAGTTTCGATGATTTGTGTGTTCAATGGAAGCATAAGAGCTAAGATGTGTTTCCACTGTCGTAGATGTTCAAGACGAACCGAGAGCTACGGCTATGTAATTTTTTCATCGAACCGTTGCCACAATCTCATACGGAATGTTCTCCTTGTTCCTCCTGGCGCATCCAAGAAGAAGGTCATTTATCATTTGCGTCTTCTTATTCGGCGCTGTAGCCGCATAAAAGCGATTTAGCACGTGAAGCCAAGTCCTTCACCACTTGGTCTTTCCATTGCAGTGGGCACCTCCCTCTTCCTCTACTACCACCAGCGGATTGCGAGTTGTAGTTAGACCTGGAACGCGGTTCCCATTCGAACGACATGGCGAAGCCAGCGGAGCCGCTGTAAAGCTTAAATAGATCATCGTTCCATTGTCTGCGATACTCATCGTCGCCAACGCGTAAGGGCCTGTAAATCTTCCGTAAGATCTTTCTCTCGATTACTCCAAGAGCCGCCTCATCGGATGTTGTCATTGTCCATGCTTCTGCGCCATATACTAGCATGGGCATGATGAGTGACTTATAGAGTGTGGTTTTTGTATGTCGAGAGAGAATTTTACTCCCGAATTACCAACTCATTCCAAAGTAGCACTTTTTGGCAAGAGTGATTCTGCGTTGGATTTCCATGCTGACATTATTATCGGTGTTAATGCTGGTTCCCAAGTAAACGAAATTCCCTATTTTCTCGAAGTTGTAACTGTCAACGGTGAAGTGGGTGCCAAGGGGCGAATGTGCTGACAGTTTGTTTGATGAAAGGAGATACTTCCTCTTGTCCTCGTTGATCACCAAACTCAATAGCTTTGCTTCGTTATCCAACTTGGCAAAGACAGGACAGACTTCGAGGTTTTTGTTATCGATGATGTCGATGTCATTGGCATACGCCAGAAATTATACGCCCTTGTAAAAAATTCTTCGTGAATCGTTCAGTTTTGTAGCTCTTATTATATTATCTTCATAATATTATCCAACGTTATTCAAATTGCTCTCGCTGATTTTTGGAAAAATTTTGCTAAAAACCCGAAGCAGCTCATCTAATTTATCAAAAAAAATTCTGGAAAATGTGGGTATTGTTGGTAGATGTATATTTCACTAAGGTAGATTCTTTTGAAAGTCGGAAAAACTCAACGCTAAAGCAGGCACATTCTCTTTACTCGCAATATAGTGCGTAGTAGGCTGTGGCGACCCCAAGTGAAATTGTTTATGATTAAAAGTTAACTTTTTATAATGTTAGCGAAAGTTGACAAGAATTTTAAGTTTTCATTAAGAATTTTTTAAACAGCTTTCATGGGATATTTTTATATTTTCGTTAGGTATGGTTTTTAATATTTTTTCATTTGTATCAGTATTTTTTATAATTTTTTTCATTGCGAAATTTGTATAGATACCAACTCTTCGTTGATAATATGATCACTTCGTTTGATAAGATTTTGTAAATTCTTTCTTCATTTAAACTGTTCGGCTTTTGGATAAGTGGAAACATAAACAAATATTTAGTAAAGCTTTCCTTAAGACTTTTCGTTTGGAACCAATTATGTAATATTTAATTTAGTTCCAATATTTGCAGTCTTTACTTTTAGATAGGGCATAATCCTATTGAAAATATTTCTGAATCAAGATTTCTCAAATGCCTTTAGTTTGGTACAGATATTGTAACATTTCATTCCTTTTGCCAATTTAATTGAGTTCAATTTTCAAATAGGTGGCAACCCTCCTCAAATATATTTTCGACTGTAGGTCTTTTAAAAATTCTTTAGTTTGAAACCCACATTGCAATATTTCATTTGTTTATTCAGTTTAACTGGGTTAAAATTTTCAAATAGGTGGCAATCCTCATCACACATATTTTCGACTGTAAGCCTTCTTAAAACTCTTAATTTGACAACCACATGGCAATATTTTATTTATTTTATCAATTTAACTGAGTTAGAATTTTCAAATAGGTGGAAACCCTCTTTTATTTCTTAACCCCGCTTCTCCACCTACAAATTCTGTTAAAAAAACTGTGTTAAGACAGAAATGCCAGGTGGAGACCGCAAATTTCCACCGTTAAACCATATCTGTCTTGCCGGATTTCTTTCCATCGCTGTCTTATTATCAGCTGTCATTTCGTAGTTTGCCAACTCAGTTTTCACTTTACCGCGCCATCTACATTGGGTACAGATCGATGTGATTGGCTTAATGCCATTTGGAAAGTGATGTGTTAAGACAGCAAGTTGCCCACATGAGAAAAAGGGCAAAATTAAAACAGAAATTTGACAGATGTTAAAACACATCTATACATATAATAAAATTGTAACAGACCGATGTCAGTACATTGTAGATATTAAAGAAAAATTAATTTGGGGGGTCTTTATAAGGGCGACAGAAGCCAAATCAACCATTTTTAGAATTTTTGTCTGTCTGTCTGATTTTCTGTCTGTCTGTCTATCTGTCTGTCTGTCTCTCTGTCTGTCTGTCTCTCTGTCTGTCTTTCTGTCTGTCTTTCTGTCTCTATGTTTGCAGGCGCATCACTCGAAAACTAATGCATGGAATTGAATGCGGTTTTAACCCCTTGTTGCCCAAGCCCAGAAAAACATTATTTTTATACCCGAGCGCACTTGTGCACAAGGGTATTATAACTTTGTTCACATAACGGTTGTTTGTAACAGGCAAAACGAATCGAGATAGATATAGACAAATGTATACATAAATGATCAGAATGAAAAGAGAAATCGATTAAGCGGNTGCTTGATGGTGCTACGGGAAGACTCAAACTTCGTTTATTGGCAACAACATTTTTTTGAGTCATTAAGCCTTGGGCCACGGTCCGTCTGTATTCTAGCAAAGTAATTTTGTCGTGAGTTTGACAGTACACGATGTAAGAATTAATGAACGTTATTTCTAGAAGCCCCCAAAACAATGTATGCCACCATTTTTTAGATCGTCTGTCTATCCCGTAGGCACTTCTTAACTGATCAGCATGGTCTACTCCACACATGAGAGTTGTAATCTTTAATTGCAGTTGGACATTGAACCTGTATTTCTTTCCCTTTCCGATCTCTTCTCTGAACTGCAGTTTGCTCAGTGCCATGAAAATTAGATGCCAATAATATTGGTTTGTTATCTATCCATTTAAAAACAATTACACCGTTCATTGTTGTTCGTGAATCAAACTCGCCTCTTTTCATTTTCTTGTCTGGTTTCATGTTTGATGGAAGTCCTTTCCGATTTGCTTTGGAACTGCGGGTGAAATATGATTCCCTCAACAATAGTTTCAATGAATGACAAGAAAAATTTTGTTGGAGTGTCTATATCTTCAAAATAACCAACTACTGCTCCCTCTGGTGAGTCAAATTATGACCCCTTGTTATTTTCTCAACTTTTCTCCATTTTCGCAATGGTTCTTCAAGAACTCCGTTTTGGGGATCTTCCAGTAATATATTTGCCTCAGCAGTTTGTTCTGCCTGGATTTGATTTAGAATCTCATTAAAAATGTCATCCTCATTGTCTTTTGAAAGGATCACTTGTTCATCTTCATCCTCACTCTCAATATCAGTGTTTTGGCCATTGTCGAGTAGAATTTCTTCCAAAATTGCAGCAATTTCATTTTCTCTCAAAGATCTGCCGTAAACTCCAGACATGATTAACTAAAAACTATATATAATTGCTTATATACATATACATATTATATTTGAAAATACTACAAGGGCCAGAAGAGCCCAACGGTACTTACAAGTCTCCAATGGAAAATCAGTTATCACTGACAAACAAACAAGAGGTAGATAGTTTTTTCGTCAGTTATAGATAAATAAATCACCAAGCTTATATTTTATTTTTATTTTGTAGAAAAATATTAAAAACTTTGCTAGAAATAATGAAAAAAAGACGCCAGTATTAACTCGCGACTACACTATAGAAAATTCCAACTTGAAATGAGCATGCAAAAAAAATAGAAAATATGTGACAAAAAGTGCCGTTAAATATGCTTGTTATTNAAAAATAGAAAATATGTGACAAAAAGTGCCGTTAAATATGCTTCTTATTTTGTACTCTGGAGTACCGTTGGTCTGCATGGTAGACAAACTTCACCCATTCTGTTTAAAAGAGCAAAAATAACGATGGTACTAAAGAGTACCGTCGGACGACAAGGGGTTAACTTATGTATTGCCAGAGGTCTAACTTAAAATATAGAAAGACAAAATTTGAAAGTTGCCACCTGTTTGAAAATTCGGGTTAAGTGAATTGATAAGAAAAAGTGAATATTGCAATATGGGCGTCAAAAGAAAGTTTAAGAAAGCTTACAGACTTAAATATTTTTTGAGGGTTGCCCTCTGTTTGAAAATTTTAATTAAAATTAATTTTTAAGATAAATGAATATTGCAATATGGGTATCAAACTGAAGAGGGTTAGAAAATTTTACTGTCGATGAGATTTTTGAGGAGGGTTACCACCATTTTGAAAAATTTTATTGAATTAAATTGATAAAATAAATGAAATCTATATTTGTACTTATAATAAGATTGTAACAGATGATGTCTGTACATTATAGATATTAAAAAAAAAATTAAAATGGGGGTCTTTATTAGAACTACAGAAGCCAAATAAACAATTTTTAGAATTATTGTCTGCCTGTCTGTCTGTATATTTGTACGCGCATCACTCGAAAACTAAAGCATGGGATCAAATTCAGTTTCCACCGATGTATCGCAAGACGTCTAACTTACAATATAAAAGAAAAAAATTAGAGAGCTGCCACCTGTTTAAAAATGTCAGTTCAAGTAAATTGATACGATAAAGTAAATATTGCAATATGGCTGTCAAAAGAAAAAGGTTTGCAAGGGCTTACAGCTGAAAATATTTTTGTTGAAAGTTTCCACCCACTGTTGCCAACTTAGTGCTTTTATTAATTTAAAACGCGAAAATTTTTGAGTTTGGTGCTTGGTGCGTTTTTTGGTGCTTTTTTTTAGTTTGAAGATACCAAAACTGTAAATCTGAAACAAAAATGGAAGTTAAATTTAGAGCAATGGAAAGTTTCGTAAGGAACTTTACAAAAATGGAAGCAAAATCATGGCGTAATGACAATCATAAGGGCCTATGTTTGTCAAAAAAATATGTGGCAGAACTTTAAATCATGCCAGAATTACATACGGTAATTTGCCATTGCCTGTAAAAACGTCCATGTTGCTGGGACCAGGAATAGATCTTTAGACCTTTAATTCGGGCTGAATTTGTTATATTTTGTACAAGCACCACCATCTCCTAACAGTAAAATGAATAACGAACCTTCGACCGCCGAGGAAGAAACATTAATTTTTATTAATTTGAATCGACATACCTACAATAAAATTGTGTATGCATACAAGGTCCATTGAATCCTCCAATAAAAAATTTGGTGCTTTTTTCGAGAAAAAACGCGTTTTATTTTGGGTTTTAGTGCTTTTCCAAATTCAAAACATGGCAACACTGTTGCCACCTGTTTGAAAACTTTTATTTACTTAAAGAGATATCATAAATTAAATACTGCAATATTGGCATCAAACTAAAGAGGCTCGCAAATTTTAATGCCGAAAATATTTTTAGGGGATCTGCCACATGTTTGAAAACTTTTATTCATTTAAATTGGTAAAATAAATTAAATATTACAATACAGATAATAAACTAAAGAGGTTTAAAGAGCTTAATTCCGAAAATATTTTTGAAGCGGGTTGCCACCTATTTGAAAAATTGTATTCAGGTAAATTGATAAGATAAGCTAAATGTTGCCATATGGGTATCAAACGAAAGTATTTGAGAATAATAAAATTGTAACAGGCCGATGTCTGTACATAATTTTAAAGAAAAATTAATAGGGGGTCTATTAGATCAACATAAGCCAAATATAAAATTTTTATAATTTTGGTCTGTCTGTCTGTATGTTTGTAAGCGCATCACGGAAAAACTAATGTATGAAATTAAATGAAGTTTTCACCGATGCATATATTGCTAGAGCTCTAGTTGAAAATCTAGAATCCATTTTTTGTTTTAGTTTATCGTCGATCATTATTCCGTATTTGAATGTATTAACTTTTTCCAGTGCGTCGTTGTTTATATTTAGAGTTAGCAACGGACTGTTCTCAAAGTTTCGCACATTAACCACAAACTTTATTTTATTGACATTCAATTAAGTGTGTTCAAACATAATCAATCGCATTTTTTTGGAACTTCTGTGGGGAAGGTTTTTCGCTGAAAAAAATCAAAACTTTTTGTTGTTGCTGCGAAAAAATTAAGAAATCTGAGACGTCACGCTTTACAATTTCATACAGTTCTCTGTACAATGTAATTCACTAAACTATTAAACGGCCGCACCGATTTGGTTCATAATTGGAACATATGCCAGCACCTTGAAAATAAATGTTCCGACCAAAAATTTACTCGATATGTAGCTCGGGATATCCCTAAACTTCTTATGCAGACTAAATCGTAAAAAACCAATATATCTCTAAAACCAATTACGCTGGGGAACTGAAACTTAGCACTGATGCATATATTTCAAATGCAATGATTCAAAAACCACTGAATAGAGCTCTAGAGTTGTAAAACTATCGATAGTGCCACCATCGATAGTTTTCATGTTTCAGGCAAAGCGCTACTATCGATAGTACTATCGATAGTCAATGTAATTTTAACAACTGTTTCAAATTAACCGGGCCAGCATCGAAATACAAAAAAAAAACATGATTGGGAGAATAAACAGGAGGAATACAATGATTCTATAGATTTGAGAAATAAGAGAAACTAAAAAATATGAACTTAAACTTTCCACTGCTTGATTATTAAAACAAAAGCAGAACTTTTATTTCCCTATGCATATACATGTGTACATTTTACGTTTGGATGTGGGGCATATACAAAACGTTCATATAGCAGATTAAAGAAGACTATTAACTTCAAATAAAATTCATTCATAAATATACGCACATATGTATATTGCATTAGAAAACTTACAAATTTACATCACTCAAAAACAGACTTTAAGAATATTATATTTTAGGAACAAAAAAATTAAGGACGAAATCATATTCGTCGTTTGCGTTTTCGTGGTTTTCCCCAAATGGGTTGCTGAGACTGTTAGCTTGTCTCATTTTCAACTATTTTGTATGTTTAAGTTTTTAAACAAGGTTAACAAAATACAATACATTGCTAAACAAAATGAGATAAGTTAACGGGCCTAAAAAGGTGTTCACATTAGACGATTTTCCAGGCAAGTTTAGGGGCGATTAGTTGAACCAAAAGTTGGCTGCCCCCCAACTTCATTGGAAGCGATTAGTTGAAAGGCCGTTCATACCAGGCGATTGTTGCTTTCAACTAAAAGTTGCCTGTAGAATCGCCTCATTTAAACACCGTATAAGAGATCATATTTTCTTATAGAAATTCTTGAAGAAATTTATCAATTCATTAGTTCATAATTTTTGCTGATGAACAGCAGCATATTCACATTTTTTGCTTTGAGTCTGGATCGCCTATCTGAAACTATTTCCCCCGCTTTGCTGAACATTCTCTCCGATTTTGTGGATGTAGCTGGAATATATAAATATTTTGATGCCAGGACTTGCAGCTGCTTCATGTCGTTCGATCTAGTCTGAATTCGAAAAAATATTAATAATATTAACGGTGTGTTATTAGAAATACTAACTTTCCAATATTCCAATGGGTCAGTGTTCAGCGGCTCGTTTGGTTTTTCTGCGTATTCTCGCAAAGCGATGATGGCATCGGCGCGGTTAGATTTAATTCTGGATGACAGTTTTTCTTTCATGAACTCATAAATTTCGGGGATTTCCAAATCTTCAGGTTTTGACGGTTCATCATTCTTGTCAGTTGATGTTGAAGAAATAGTTCTGTTGATTCCGGCTAGTTCATTTTCCAACAAAATGGATGCTTGTGTTGCATTTTGAGGAGATCGAAAACCAGGTTTTTTAAAGCGCGGGTCTAACAGGGTAGCCAATCTCGGAGTACTCCTAGATTCGTAAATAAACGGCCTCTGTTTAATTTTTTCAGCTAAATATGCGCACGTTTCATAACCCTCTGTAGTTTGCAATTTCGATTCCAGTTTCAGCATAGTTGAATATAAGCCACATACTATGGGAATTACATGCGAAATTGTTACATACTGATTCGCTGAAACGATGCTTGTATTTTTGTTAAATGGTTCCAATAATAAACAAAGGTCTTCTAGTTGCAATATTTCATCTGCTGTTAGAACCGTAGGTGCTTTGGGTGTGCTTAAAAGCACTGCAGAGATGGCTTCTTTAATAAGGAGAATTCGCTGAACCATAGCAAAGGCACTATTCCACCTTGTTGGCACTTCTTGTATAAGCCCGTATTGACAATCCTCGCCCTGTTCTTTCCTTAATTTTGCATATGCAATAGTGCTACTTTTAAAATATGCAACAATACGTTTACACTTTGTTAGCAACGTTTCAACCTTTTCAGTTGACAAAGCATCTTGTACAACAAGATTGATAGAATGAGCAAAACAGGAATGATGTTTCTTCTGAATTAATTCACAAGCCTTTATCATTGACGCAGCGTTGTCTGTTACCACACAGATAACTTTCTGAGATATGTTCCATTTAAGCATGCACTGCCGCAATGATTCTGAAATATTTTCAGCTGAGTGATTCAGCTCATTTGCTAGCTTTTGTACAAAATCTCTAAATCCCTTGTCCTCGACTACGCGGAAAGA